ATTTGGACATTTTCACTTAGGGGTGTACTCACTTTTGTTGCCAGCGGTTTAGGCATTAATGGCTGTGTGTTGTGTTATTTTGAGGGGACAGCAAATTTACACTGTTATACAAGCTGTACACTCACTACTTTACATTGTCACATGAAAAGATATACTCAAATATTTACAAAAATGTGAGGGTTGTACTCACTTTTGTGAGATACTGTATATATATACATATAAACACTGCTCAAAAAAATAAAGGGAACACTAAAATAACACATCCTAGATCTGAATGAATGAAATAATCTTATTAAATACTTTTTTCTTTACATAGTTGAATGTGCTGACAACAAAATCACACAAAAATTATCAATGGAAATCACATTTATCAACCCATGGAGGTCTGGATTTGGAGTCACCCTCAAAATTAAAGTGGAAAACCACACTACAGGCTGATCCAACTTTGATGTAATGTCCTTAAAACAAGTCAAAATGAGGCTCAGTAATGAGGCTCCACGTGCCTGTATGACGTCCCTACAACGCCTGGGCATGCTCCTGATGAGGTGTGGGATAGTCTCCTGAGGGATCTCCTCCCAGACCTGGACTAAAGCATCCGCCAACTCCTGGACAGTCTGTGGTGCAACGTGGCGTTAGTGGATGGAGCGAGACATGATGTCCCAGATGTGCTCAATTGGATTCAGGTCTGGGGAACGGGCGGGCCAGTCCATAGCATCAATGCCTTCCTCTTGCAGGAACTGCTGACACACTCCAGCCACATGAGGTCTAGCATTGTCTTGCATTAGGAGGAACCCAGGGCCAACCGCACCAGCATATGGTCTCACAAGGGGTCTGAGGATCTCATCTCGGTACCTAATGGCAGTCAGGCTACCTCTGGCGAGCACATGGAGGGCTGTGCGGCCCCCCCAAAGAAATGCCACCCCACTCCATGACTGACCCACCACCAAACCGATCATGCTGGAGGATGTTGCAGGCAGCAGAAAGTTCTCCACGGCGTCTCCAGACTCTGTCACGTGCTCAGTGTGAACCTGCTTTCATCTGTGAAGAGCACAGGGCGCCAGTGGCGAATTTGCCAATCTTGGTGTTCTCTGGCAAATGCCAAACGTCCTGCACGGTGTTGGGCTGTAAGCACAACCCCCACCTGTGGACGTCGGGCCCTCATACCACCCTCATGGAGTCTTTTTCTGACCGTTTGAGCAGACACATGCACATTTGTGGCCTGCTGGAGGTCATTTTGCAGGGCTCTGGCAGTGCTCTTCCTGCTCCTCCTTGCACAAAGGCGGAGGTAGCAGTCCTGCTGCTGGGTTGTTGCCCTCCTACGGCCTCCTCCACGTCTCCTGATGTACTGGCCTGTCTCCTGGTAGCGCCTCCATGCTCTGGACACTACGCTGACAGACACAGCAAACCTTTTTGCCACAGCTCGCATTGATGTGCCATCCTGGATGAGCTGCACTACCTGAGGCACTTGTGTTGGTTGTAGACTCCGTCTCATGCTACCACTAGAGTGAAAGCACCGCCAGCATTCAAAAGTGACCAAAACATCAGCCAGGAAGCATAGGAACTGAGAAGTGGTCTGTGGTCACCACCTGCAAAACCAGTCCTTTATTGGGGGGTGTCTTGCTAATTGTCTATAATTTCCACCTGTTGTCTATTCCATTTGCACAACAGCATGTGAAATGTATTGTCAATCAGTGTTGCTTCCTAAGTGGACAGTTTGCTTTCACAGAAGTGTGATTGACTTACATTTACATTTATGTCATTTAGCAAACGCTCTTATCCAGAGCGACTTACATTATTTTATTTTTTCATACCCCCTGTGGGAATCTATCCCACAACCCTGGCGTTGCAAACACCATGCTCTATCAACTGAGCTACATCCCTTGGACTTGGAGTTACATTGTGTTGTTTAAGTGTTCCCTTTATTTTTTTGAGCAGTGTATATACATACATACATACATACATACATACATACATACATACATACATACTGCCCATCTTAATCTTTTATTTTTATTGGTCAGTCTGAGAAGGTTTTTTTGCTTCTTTTAATCAGCACAACAGTTTTCAGCTGTGCTAACATAATTGTAAAAGGGTTTTCTAATGATCAATTAGGCTTTTAAAATTATAAACTTGGATTAGCAAACACAATGTGCCATTGGAACACAGGACTGATGGTTGCTGATAATGGGCCTCTGTACGCCTATGTAGATATTCCATAAAACAACATGAACAATGTCTACACTGTATTTCTGATCAATTTGATGTTATTTTAATGGACAAAAAAATTGCTTGTCTTTCTAAAACAAGGACATTTCCATGTGACCCCAAACTTTTGAACAGTAGTGTATGTGTGTAGACGGCTCCTAAGTTTACACTGAAAGATTTCAATTTAGCATGAGCGGCGAATGCATTTTGTAGGCACAGACAGCTTGCTAACTAGCGTTTTGCCGAGAATATATAATAGTATAACATAGAAAACGTGGATTTGGAAGCAAAGTGGAAAGCAGAATCGTGTTTAGAAGTATCTGTTGCTACTTGACAGTATGTTGACTGCATGCGAGTGGTCAAGCCTCGAGGAACAGCTTCCTTGAGTGGCAGGGAGCGGGGCTTGGTGGGAGTGGGGTGCAGTCTCCATTGATGTCTGTCTTTAGACGGGGGCTTAGAAGCAGGAGGTTGCCAGACTGTACTTGACTGTACTGTACCGTATGTCTGGGGCTTGTGTGCAGTCAAGTCAATCTCATTATTGGCTGGTGTAAATGACTGAAGGAATAACGGATGGCCCTGTAAGCTCATTTGGTGCCCCGGGCCCTCTACGGTTAATGGGTTCATTACAATGGGGTGTGTGTGTGTACGTGTACATTGCGTGTGTGTGTCTCTGTCTCCTTTGCATGTGCGTGTTCATGATAGTATGTGCTTGTGTTTTTGCATACGTGTATCTATCCAGGCACCAGGGCAGAAGGGCACCATTCATAGCTCCTCAGTCTCATCAACTCCTGCAGTCCCCTTGCGGATCTCATCTGTAGCAGTCTCTAGCCCAGCTCAGCGTGGCTCTGATTGATAGTTGATTAGGGAGAGAGACTGAGGGAGATACCGATAAAAGAGAAGAGTAGGTACTGTGAGATGATAAACAATGTGTGTTACTGTGGCTCCAAGTGGTTTTGGTGGGTTGGAGGGTAGGGAGAGGTGAGCGTTGGGTGTCAGTGTTACATGGGAAGGTTTGGCATGTGTATGGATAGCCAGTGGCTTTGTTGCAGTGCATATGCGTGGGCGCGTGCGTGTGAGCGTAGTATGGCAGTATGTCCGTCTCTGACGGTTGAGTTTAGTCTGTCTGTACAGTATGTCTTTGTGTTTGAAAGAAGATTGGCTTGATGTGGCATTTTGTCTGGTTGACCAGTGGCATGTGTCTGAAGATTGTGTGCATGGCCACGTATACTAGTGTCTGATTTGTTTTCTAGGTCTATGCGCGTGCCTAAGGGTCAGTGTATGTGCATAAGTTACCTAAATGATTTAGCCTACATCCTTTACTTTAGACCCCCACTTACGTACAATGTGGAAAAAAACGGTTGTGTGTGGCGTTTCTGGCCTGTGAGAGCGGTTGAGCTCAGAGGAAGTGAGAGGAGCTCTCCCTCTCCCCCCCTCTCCTTTCTGTCTCTCTCCCCATATCCCTCCCCCTCTCTCCCTTCTCTCTCTCCCTTTACTCTCTCTCTCTCTCTCTGCTCTATGCCCCCCTTTCTCCCTCTTTCTGCATTAGCAGATTGGTTCTGGACTCGCTGTCTCTCTCTAGCAAAAACCGCAAAAGCAACCTCAGTGTTTGGACATCTCCACTTTAATGTGTTTCCGCTTTTGTCTGTGTCCCAAATGGCACCCTATTTTCTGTATAGTGCACTACCTTTGACCAGAACCCTATGGACCGCACCTTGATTTCTTTGTGTAAAGAAGCGTTCTGGTTTTGTAATAGTGCAACATGGACAGTTGGACACTCCTTTATTAGAAAAACAGAAGAAGAGCCAATTGGTTCCAAAAACAAGACTGTGGGTGGTTTCTCTCCCGGAGTTGTCCTCTGGCTCTCGAACATCGGTTATGTCTCAAATGGAACCGTATTCCCTATGTAGTGCACTACTTTTGTATGGGCACTGGTCAAAAGTAGTGCACCATAGGGAATAGGGTGCCATTTGGGACGTGGACATAGACATCATAAACCATACATTCCGATTTCCATTGGATCGCCCCGTCATAACGTGATTTTATTGACATACATGGAGACCGTAATCGTCCTCTTGTCCCTGACCACGCCATGTGTATTATTTATCTGTGTGTGAGACGTGAACCTGTTGTGTTTGCAGTTGCACAGCCTTTTGCGTTCATGAGGTGTAAATGTATGCATGTCCATGTGAATGTGTGTGCATATGTGTTGTCACAATACCAGAATTTTGACTTCGATACCAGGTTTAGTATCACAATACTCGATACCATCACGATACTCGATACCAAAACAATGCACACACACCTGTTGTGCATGCATTGAGTTATTGACCTTGTTTTAGATGATTTCATGGGGCTACAGATGACAAACAATCCCTTCCATTTAGGACTTATCTGCTAGGAGAACATATTCTTTGATTGTACTGATCAACAACATTTGCATAGAAGAAGAAATCTGTTATTTTAGAAAAGTGTGCACAGTCTCTTGAAAGGAATGATATCATTCCCAAGGCAGAATATGGCTATGGATTCTAGTGGAGACCATACGGGAGGTGAGGAAGACGAAGAAGTGAATGAGTTTTTGGTGGCGAGGGAGACTAAGTGAAATAATAACGTTTTTGGTGACAATCCACTTTCAAATCAGCATATTTGTTTTGTATCTAAAAAGTACCAACGTTTCGGTATACCGTGTATTATGTTTGTGATGTGATCACCCTTTACAGTATAGCAGTCTGCCGGTATAGTATGTAGCCTGTAGTCTGCCAGTATAGTATGTAGCCTGTAGTCTGCCGGTATACTATGTAGCCTGTAGTCTGCCGGTATACTATGTAGCCTGTAGTCTGCCGGTATACTCTGTAGCCTGTAGTCTGCCGGTATAGTATGTAGCCTGTAGTCTGCCGGTATACTATGTAGCCTGTAGTCTGCCGGTATACTATGTAGCCTGTAGTCTGCCGGTATACTATGTAGCCTGTAGTCTGCCGGTATACTATGTAGCCTGTAGTCTGCCGGTATACTATGTAGCCTGTAGTCTGCCGGTATACTATGTAGTCTGCCGGTATAGTATGTAGCCTGTAGTCTGCCGGTATAGTATGTAGCCCGTAGTCTGCCGGTATAGTATGTAGTCTGCCGGTATACCATGTAGTCTGCCGGTATAGTATGTAGCCCGTAGTCTGCCGGTATAGTATGTAGTCTGCCGGTATACCATGTAGTCTGCCGGTATACCATGTAGTCTGCCGGTATACCATGTAGCCTGTAGTCTGCCGGTATAGTATGTAGTCTGCCGGTATACCATGTAGTCTGCCGGTATACCATGTAGCCTGTAGTCTGCCGGTATAGTATGTAGCCTGTAGTCTGCCGGTATAGTATGTAGCCCGTAGTCTGCCGGTATAGTATGTAGTCTGCCGGTATACCATGTAGTCTGCCGGTATACCATGTAGCCTGTAGTCTGCCGGTATACTATGTAGCCTGTAGTCTGCCGGTATACTATGTAGCCTGTAGTCTGCCGGTATACTATGTAGCCTGTAGTCTGCCGGTATACTATGTAGCCTGTAGTCTGCCGGTATACTATGTAGCCTGTAGTCTGCCGGTATACTATGTAGCCTGTAGTCTGCCGGTATACTATGTAGCCTGTAGTCTGCCGGTGTACTATGTAGCCTGTAGTCTGCCGGTATAGTATGTAGCCTGTAGTCTGCCGGTATAGTATGTAGCCCGTAGTCTGCCGGTTTACCATGTAGCCCGTAGTCTGCCGGTATACCATGTAGCCCGTAGTCTGCCGGTATACCATGTAGCCTGTAGTCTGCCGGTATACCATGTAGCCTGTAGTCTGCCGGTATACTATGTAGCCTGTAGTCTGCCGGTATACTATGTAGCCAGTAGTCTGCCGGTATACTATGTAGCCTGTAGTCTGCCGGTATAGTATGTACCTCATCCCAGTCTATTGAAGGAGTGTGTATGCCCCCAGGCCAGGCCGTGCTGAGAGAGAAAGGTTTGGCCTAATGGCTGTATTCTCAGGGTTAAATGGAGTGTGTCTAATTCGGGCCACTCACACACACACACACACACACACACTCACACACAGTATCTTAGGGTCTCCTCTATGTATCCTTGTTCCTGGATATTTTTACTATCTCATCCCCAGGAGTATGACGGGTGGGCAATTGAGCCAGATGCTCCCGAAAGTAAATGTTGCTCTCTTCAATGCCACAGTGATAGTGATACTTCTGAACAAGACAAAATAGGTATCCAATGGGTGTGGAAGTGAAACCAATTCAGTATATATACTGGATGTTGGATCATCTCTATTAGGGATGGGCACGGTTATCCAGATATCCAAACGGACGTTAGTATTTGATTACTTGAGTGAGTGTTCATTTTTGGAGAAAAACATTTGTAATATCCTATGTTTCTCAAGAGTCGTGGCTGAAGGAGGACATGGCAAACTCCAAACGAGCTGTCATGTGCCTTTTACTAAGGAGTGGCTTCCGTCTGGCCACTCTACCATAAAGGCCTGATTGGTGGAGTGCTGCAGAGATGGTTGTCCTTCTGGAAGGTTCTCCCATCTCCACAGAGGAACTCTGGAGCTCTGTCAGAGTGACCATCGGGTCATACAATACCTCGCCAACAAAAACTCATTCACTTCTTCATCTTCCTCGCCTCCCGTATGGTCTCCACTAGATTCCATAGCCACATTTGGAAAGTAATCAGACCCTTTCCCTTTTTCCACATTTTGTTACATTACAGCCTTATTCTAAAATGGATTAAATAAAATACAAATCCTGATCAATCTACACACAATACCCCATAATGACAAAGCGAAAACAGGTTTTTAGAATCTTTTGCAAATGTATTAAAAAATATAAAACAAATACCTTATTTACATAAGTATTCAGACCCTTTGCTATGAGACTTGAAATTGAGCTCAGGTGCATCCTGTTTCCATTGATCATCCTTGAGATGTTTCTACAACTTGATTGGAGTCCACCTGTGGTAAATTCAATTGATTGGACATGATTTGGAAAGGCACACACCTGTCTATATAAGGTCCCACAGTTGATGGTGCATGTCAGAGCAAAAACCAAGCCATGAGGTCGAAGGAATTGTCCGTAGAGCTTCAAGACAGGTTTGATCAAAAAATGTCTGCAGCATTGAAGGTCCCCAAGAAGACAGTGGCCTCCATCATTCTTAAAAGCAAGTAGTTTGGGACCACCAAGACTTTTCCTAGAGCTGGCCACCGGCCAAACTGAGCAATCGGGGGAGAAGGGCCTTGGTCAGGGAGGTGACTAAGAACCCGATGGTCACTCTGACAGAGCTCCAGAGTTCCTCTGTGGAGATGGGACAACCTTCCAGAAGGACAACCATCTCTGCAGCACTCCACCAATCAGGCCTTTATGAAGCCACTCCTTAGTAAAAGGCACATGACAGCCCACTTGGAGTTTGCCAAAGGGCACCTAAAGGACTCTCAAACCATGAGAAACCAAATGATCTGGTCTGATGAAACCAAACTTTGGCCTGAATGCCAAGCATCACGTCTGTAGGAAATCTGGCACCATCCCTACGGTTAAGCATGGTGGTGGCAGCATCATGCTGTGGAGATGTTTTTCAGTGGCAGGGACTGGGAGACTAGTCAGGATTGAGGGAAAGATGAACGGAGCGAATTACAGAGAGATCCTTGACAAAAAACTGCTACAGAGCGCTCAGGACCTCAGACTGGGGCGACGGTTCAACCTTCCAACAGGACAACGACCCTAAGCACACAGCCAAGACAATGCAGGAGTGGCTTTGGGGCAAGTCTCTGAATATCCTTGAGTGGCCCTGCCAGAGCCCGGACTTGAACCTGATCGAACATCTCTGGAGAGACCTGAAGATAGCTGTGCAGCGACGCTCCCCATCCAACCTGACAGAGCTTGAGAGGATCTGCAGAGAAGAATGGGAGAAACTCCCCAAATACAGGTGTGCCAAGTTTGTAGCGTCATACCAACGAAGACTTGAGGCTGTAATCACTGCCAAAGGTGCTTCAACAAAGTACTGAGTAAAGGGTCTGAATACTTATGTAAATGCAATATTTCAGTTAATTTTTTATAAATGTGCTATAATTTCTAAAAACATGTTTATGCTTTGTCATAATGGGGTATTGTGTGTAGATTGATGATCTGTGCCTCGACACAATCCTGTCTCGGTGCTCTAGGGACCATTCCTTTGACCTCATGGCTTGGTTTTTGCTCTGATATGTACTGTCAACTGTGGGACCTTATATAGACGGGAGTGTGCCTTTCCAAATCATGTCCAATCAATAGAATTTACCACAGGTGGACTCCAAGTTGCAGGATGCACCTGAGCTCAATTTCGAGTCTCATAGCAAAGGGTCTGAATACTTATGTAAAGAAGGTATTTCTGTTTTATACTTTAATTAATTGCAAAAAATTCTAAAAACCTGTTTTCACTTTGTCATTAAGGGGTATTATGTGTAGATTGAGGAAAACAATTATTTAAACAATTTTAGAATAATAATAATAATAATATGCCATTTAGCAGACGCTTTTATCCAAAGCGACTTACAGTCATGCGTGCATAATTTTTTTTTGTGTATGGGTGGTCCCGGGGATCGAACCCACTACCTTGGCGTTACAAGCGCTGTGCTCTACCAGCTGAGCTACATTTTGTTAGGCTGTAACGTAACAAAATGTGGAAAAAGGGAAGGGGTCTGAATACTTTCCGAATGCATTGGTGTCCACCTGGTGTGTTTTGTATATAAACATGATTAAAGTGACCAGTATTTAAATGACTCTATGTACATAGGGCAGCAGTCTCTAAGGTGCAGGGTAGAGTATCGGGTGGTAGCTGGCTAGGACAGTGACTGAGGCTAGTGGTGACTTTTTAAAAGTTGCACTATGCAGAAATCACTCCTCTATTTCCTTCTTGCTAAAACTCTAATAGTCGCCTAATTTCAGTTTGTGACAAAATAAACTAGTATAGTGTAGAGAATTATTGTACCATTGTAAACCGCTGTGAAATATATTTTCCATAACCAAAAATATTGTTGTTTCAGCTGTTTTTAAAGCTGGTGTACAAAACCGAAAGTAAAAGACGCACAAAAAAAGAAGAAATGGCACCTATATAACAGATCTACTGCTTCTTAGACTTGCTTGCAAGTAAAATGATAGATCTATAACATTTCTATGTGAATTTGGTCGCCCAAAAAGTTACATATTGCCACTAACTGTTTACGAAGCATGTGAAAAATAAAATTTGATTTGAAATTCTTAATTTAGTAAAACAACAATCTTTTGTATGTAGTTTTATAACTGTGCGTTGAGCTACTGCTGCACATTTAGCCCTCCAGTCTCTTCCCTGACATCGGTATACTACTTTCCCCACTTTAAATAGCAATTACAGGTGCGCACATGACGGAGTTTCCACAAGACCTGACACAGTTCAATGCAAAACACTTACCAGAAAACCCCTTTGTAACAGAATCAAGTCTATCATGGTGAAAATCAGACTTCTCTTTCACTTGCTTTTAGCGAAAATCTAGGAGAAGCACTGTTTACCTCTGCCATGTGCATTTGCGTCATTTTGATTGGTCAAGAGTCAAGCATTTTATTTTATATTTTTAATATTTTGTTTTGAAGTTAGACCAGGGTTGTCGATCATACGTGAGGGTGTCCAATCCGGCCCGCTGGTGGTTTGAGTAAAAAAAATAAAGCCATAATAATAATTTGAAATATGGAAAACCAACTCAACTTTAATATACTAAAAAATGACTCAAACCAAATCGAGACTGTGTCCAGCTCACTAATAATAATCACTGAAATGAAAGCTAGACAGTCAGAGAGCATTGAAAATTCCCAAAACTATCAATAGAGGACAATCTTTTTGCTGATTTTTGATGGCGAGAAAATATAACACATTTTCAGTAAGGCCCTCCAGACCTAAATTGAACACCGAATGTGGCCCCTGGTGCAAAATGAGTTTGACATCCGGATAACACATTTCATGATTTTTTGAATAGTGAAATAATGTAAAATCCCTAATCTCTGTTGCGTTTTAGCATATTTCAGTATCAGTATTTACTGTATAATCAATCCTCTTGTCTGTCCACGTCCTTGTCTCTAGCATGGCCCTTTTGTTCAGACTAAGCTCTCTATAGCGAAATGCTGATGATTACGAAGATACCCACTGTAATGTTTTGGTTTGCATTATGCATTCAATATGGTCAGCCACACTGTAAGAACAACAGTTTTTAGAGTGCAAAATGTCGGTCCTTTAGGCTAGCCACCATGATTTCCTGATTAATCCCTGAGGATTAATTTCCTCCTCTGATGGTATATTTAATCTGTGTGGGATTGGGCAGAGGCGGGTTGACATCATTCCATCTCCATGGTAACCCCAGATGATGGGCCTATAGGATGAGAGCGCTCGGGTTTCAGGACTAGTGGGTGAATTTGTTGAAGGATTTCTATCCAATTGGAACCAGGCACTTCAGACTTCACCCTTGTTGACCTATCTAGGAGGACATTGCATTTACATTGACTTTCAACCAACCCAGCGTTATTGCATCATTGTCCATTGGTTCTAGCTAGAGATGACTCCTTGGTGAGGGTTGGTCAATGCAGCTTTGTGTACATGGAACACTGGTTACTGTAATTGTACACTAATGATTCCAGCACATACAGGACACTGTGGTGGTGATCGGTATTAAGGGCTTTGTGACTCAATGGAAGCAGTCTTCCACTGTACATGTGAGAATAGTACGATGAGTACACAGGCTTCTATGTAAATATAATTGAACTGATGAAGAAAAAAAAGACAACCCTTACAACAACAAAAAAAATCTGTTTTGTAACTGCAGTCGACTGTGGTATTTTGGACATACCGCGTCCAAAATACGTTTTTGTATCTGCAGCATACTGCAGTTAAACTGCACTCTAA